GGTTGGTGTGTTGTAGGCTCCAAACTCTGTATTCTATACAAACACAGTAATCCAAAATCAAAAGCATCCTGACAGTTTTAAGTTGTATATGACATTAAAATGAGAGGCTTTTGCCTACTAGTTCTAGAAAAGAGCTAAAGTTTTTATCTGAATTTTCAATAGAGGAAAAAAAGTACCTGGTGGACTTGGATTATTGAGTGATGTCTTCATTCTCTGGGTACAAAAATATATTGGAGCATAAATAGGAGGAGGTGAATTCGATTTACCTGTCTTCTGTTGAAATGAAAGCCATATGGAGCAAGGTGATCGGGCTAGAGTAGTGCCAAGTCTGTCTCTGTAGGACGGACAAGACATTGCACGATGGAGAGATCTGTTAGGTGGCATTACGGTCTTACCCATGCCTGTGTTTGCTGGGGACTGGCCAGAGCTCACAGTGTGCCAACACCCATCTGAGTTGCTTGCCATTACCTATGGCAACCCCAGACATCATTGCTGATGTGTACCTACGTATCCTTCCTTTTCAGCTTTGCTTTGCAGTGAGTCAGAAGAGGCTGTGCAAAGTGACATTTCATCTAAAGCTGCTGCATATGTAGCCTTTGGACTAATCAAAATTGCTGGTACTTTTTGTGTGACAAAAGAGCACGGCATCCAAGATAAACTGAGGAGAAGAGATCTGGGTATGCAAGGCTTCATTTAAAAAAGGCATCTTTCATCTCGCTGACAGCGAGGTTCCTGCAGCGCTTTGATTGCCCTTTAATTATGCCTGTTTTTCCTGGTTTGTTTGAAAGGCAGATCTTGTTAGAAAAAGGTGCTGTGTGGAAAGAACTTGGCTGTCTCTGCTGCCCTTCCTTGAGGGCAGAGCTACCGGATTAAGGTTTTTTTTCCTGCATTATTAAAATGGAAGATTGTTTCTCGTAGATTTGAATGTAGGCACAGTGTGTTTCTTCTGAGTTAGGCAAGGAAGGGCATGAGTGGTCTGGTGGTTAAAGCAGACTGGGAAGTCATGAGGTCTGGCTTCTTCCCACGCTGACTTCCAGCGTGATCCCAGAGGAGGTACTTCAGTCCTTCTGCCTTGGGTCTTCTGTTGTGTGAGGCTGGGCTGGCTGCTTGTCCGCCCCAAGGACAGCAGGAAGCCCAGCCTGGTGTTGGGTGAAGGAGGGTCTGCAGTATGTTGGGGTGGTTGTCAGTTGTAGGGGGTTAGCAGCTCGTACCAGCTCACAGGTTCCATGCTGTTTGGTGTTTTATCTGAAACCCTGCCACTGTAGAGCTAGTTGTCTCAATGAGAATCTCAGCTTTCAAAAATAATAATTTTAAAAGCATGAAAAACATCAACCAAAAAAAAAGAAAATAAAAATAAAGCCTGGCTTTGGTTGGAGAGTAAAGCCTAGAAATATGATTAAAATATGGACTAAAGGCTTAACTGCCAAGCAAACAAAATAACTCAAACAGGTTTCTAATCCTTTTAGAAATCTTGATTTAAAAAAAAATCTGCGTAACTTTTGAGGGCTTGACTCATGTTTTTAAGTGCTTGGGCTTGACAACGCTCTATTTTTAAGTGCTGTCTTTATATTGAATCTTGGGAGGTGAGATGAAAATGTGGGGTTTTTCTTTTTAAAAGTAACAACAAATCTTAATATAGCTGAGAATGCGGAACTGCCCTTAGAAAAATAGGTTGGACACATGAAAAGGAATCTTGCTCAGCAGGCTGAAGACGCAGAGCAACTTCTGCGGTTACGTTTTTCTTTCTTCTGGCAATTTTGGGGTGGGGATGTAGCTGGCGCAGTCACTTGGTCTTACGTTTCTTTTCGAACACAAGTCACATCGTCCCGAACAAAATGCACCAGTTTGAAACTGTGTTTTAGCCCAAACTGGAAAAGCTGTTTGCTAAAACTCCGTTTTTGTGGAACTTGAGGCAACCTGAAGTTGATAAAAAAACAGGAATTAGAGGATGAGTAGCGAGGAGCAGATGATCCTTTTGAATTGAAATGGCTTTGTTTGAACAGGAGACAACAGGCTTGGCTCTCTGTTGCTTCAGAGAGGTGATTAGGTTTTTGTTGTCATCTCCTGCCCAGAGTCCTGAAGACTTAAATGGCATGAAAATGAAGTCAGCTGCTCAAAGCTAATCAAATGAGGAGACTCTATAGTAGGAGGATAATCTTTGTTATCTGACAGGCAGTCCCAAATTCCCATGGGATACCTGTGCAGCTCCGCTGCAGCAGCGTGTGTCCGTCATGCTGAGACCAACCCTTCTGCCTTCAGCCCAGCGTGCTGTGTGGGCTTTGCGTGTCTGGTAAGCCATGAAAACTGAAAATGTGGCCCTGAATTCTCAGAGGAGAAGCCACACTGCTTGCTAGGGAACTGGTGGCTGATGCTGCACATTGAGTCCGCTGGTGTCCAGCGGTGTGAAACTCAAATGAGAGATTTCACAGAAATTTTGAGGCTCTGGTAGACCTGCTGGCACGGCTGCTTGGGCATGTTTTCTTAAAGAATGCAGTCATTTCCTCATATAGGAGTGAGAGTTGTGTGTGAATATTCAGTATGGGTAAATCAATTTAAAATTAAAATTTAAAATGTAAAAATATGCAAACACTAGAGTTAAGGCTCTTTTATAAAACAAAACCCCTGCTCAGGGAACGCAATTATTCAGGCTGTGCATACATCTGATTACCTCGCTCCCAAGTGGGTGAAAGCAACTCTGCAAACTCCTTGAAGCTTCTCCCCGGGGTGTGCCAGCGCTGCAAGCAAAATGCCTTTGTAAAGTTGAAGGTGGCAAAAAGGGAAGAGGGGTGGATAAAAGCTAGCAAAGCCATCGCTTGAGTCAGGCTGGGCAAGACTGAGAAGAGCTTATTTTAAAATCATTTTTCTTGGCTATGATTTGGGATGTATTTAATGTTTTTAAAAGAAAAAAGCCTTCTTGGATGAAGATGGGTTTGAGATGCTGACACACAGGCTGCAGAGTGAGCAGGCACTGGGAGCTGACTGACCTTTGGTGATGCTGTCCCTGGGCATCGTCCTGGCTGGGGCCACCGCAGAGCAGGCAGCGGAGTGGCTGGGGCTGGGCCAGTGTGCCACGCTGGCCTGAGTTCCGTGTGTTTCACACATCTCAGGGTCCCTTTGCACAAGTGGGACTCAGCGGGGCCGCTGCCAGCTCTGTGGGATGGTGTGTGTGTGCAAGGGAAGGCACGGGGACTTTGCTGAGCTGGCGTGTGGCGGCTGTCACCTTGCTCTGGGGCAGGTGGTGCTCACAGGGGCTGCAAGAAGTTCCATGTGAATCTCAAACATTCAGATGAGTTACTATGAGTGAAGATGCTTATCTACTATTTTTTTTTTTTTATACTACTGTATTGTATATGGGGAAGAATGCTTATATCCCTAATCTGGTGGTAATTCATAGAATCACAGGATGGTTTGGGTTGGAAGGGACCTTAAAGATCATCTAGTTCCAACCCCCTTGCCATGAGCAGGGACACCTTCCACTAGACCAGGTTGCTCAAAGCCTCATCAAGCCTGGCCTTGAACACTTCCAGGGGAGGGGACATCCATAACTTATTTAGAAAGAATCATAAAGATGAAGAAGTAATACTTTTTACATTTCCATTTCCCCTCTTTTGTTAAAACCAGTAAAGGATGTTGCAGAACCTGTGTGAAGAAGTCTGTGATAAGCACTTTGCAAAACCACAAATCCAAACCAAACCCTTAAGCTTTTCAAAACCTACTTTGAGACTTTGCAACGCCAGGACGGCTCCGGGAGGTGGCACCAGCTCTCTGCAGAGACTGTCAGACTGGTGCTTTGTGATAGTAGCACAATAAGTGATAGAACAGTGTTCCTGCAAAACCTCTGGCAAGGTGCTTCTGGCTCCCAAGGCTTTGATTTATTTGTATTTTTTTATTTTTTTTTTTAGCAGTGGGTTCCCAGCTCTGTTTTTGAGGCAGAGAGGAGAGTAGCCACTGCAGGTCTTGGTGGCTCATAAATTCCTGGTAATGAGTTATTGCAGCTTCTGCTGAGACGTGCCAATAATGAGCATTGTGTCTGGAGAAAAGCCTGACACACAGCAAGCCCATGTTCTGGGTACAAAGTACTCTGCTCTGTGTGTTCATATCCACACAAGGATATTTATTCCTTGTGTTAAGTAGCATTGAACTTGTTCTGTGGTTGTGAGTTTGTGTTGTTGTTTGTTTTGGGGTGGGTTTTTTTAGGCATTTATGAAAATTAAATTAGATATGTTGAAAATCACTCTTCATTAATTTTTCCCATAATTCAATTTTTTTATTAGAATAATGGAAATATTACTCTTTCCTTTTTTTTTTTTCCCTTTTGATCTGAACATTAACAGGGTATTGTAAGTCTCACTGGAGAATATTCAAAATAGTGTTCATCTCTTTAAGTGTAAAGCCCAGAAACTTTTTCACTGAAATAATGGCGTTATTCCTGTGTTTAAAGAGAACACGTTACCTAATATTTTTAAGTGTTTAATACCATTTACAGGAAAAATACAACAAAAACTCCCAAGTAGTTTCAAGCATAAGCTGTGCTCACAGCAGCTCATGTCAAACTCATGGAAAGCTTTGTTTTAACTTGCCCGAAGTAACATAAATTTTTCAAAGCATGGTTGTGTTCTTACCAAGATGGTAAAGCATTGGCCAGTGAAGGTTGGGCACAGGAGGATTCCTGTTGCTAAAAATTTGAAGATGACATATTTAATATCTCTTGAGTGGAAATACCTGGGAAAGGTGGATGGAGTCTTCATAAAGTTTGGAGGATTTGTTGAAATTGACTCTGGACAAAGTGGCTTTGTTCCCTGTAATGGCTTATATAAGGAATTAAGAATGTCATACTGCTTCTTGAGGATTTTACCTGATTTCTCAGAATGAAGAAGGTCTTGCTTGCAGTAGCAAGGGTCAGCATTTAGATCTTGGCACTTGCCGAGTAGTCCCTTGCTCAGCAGCTGCGCAGGAGTCTGTGTGTCACAACTGACGGATGCTGCTTTCCTCTTCCTCAGGTTTTCATCTCTGTGAACTGCCTCAGCACGGATTTCTCCTCTCAGAAGGGAGTTAAAGGCCTGCCCCTGAATCTTCAGATTGACACCTACAGCTACAATAACAGGAGTAACAAACCTGTGCACAGAGCCTACTGCCAGATCAAAGTCTTCTGCGACAAGGTAAGGTTGGTTCAATGTGCCCTTTGGGAAAGGCTGTTCCACAGCTCAGCAGCTTTATTTCCCTCCCCCCAACTCTGTCAGTTGCTATTTTGGCTCACTGAAAACTCCTGTCTCTTTTCCCAGCCTTTGCAAGGAAAAAATTTCAACCCCTTCTCCTTGGCTCATAGATGTTATGATGCCCTCAGATAAATTTGCTGCTCTCAAAATTCTGGAGCACTGAGAAGTGTTCCTGAGTATTGACTTTGGAGAAAGGTCAGTCAGTGTCAGAAGACTGGCTGTCGGTACTCCAGGCACTGGAAGGTCCTGCTGAGTGCCTTTTTTTCAGCAGGAGAAATCATTGCAATTGATTGGAGCAAGTGCAGACTTGTCTTTTAAATTTCTTTGTGCGTTCTTACTGCATTTGTTATTAAAAAAACCCAACAACTTGCACATCTTTTGAGCAGAAAACGTTGCTGTTTTCATTGTGCTGCTGTGAGATACAGCAGTATAAATGAAACCCATTTACAAGTTGGGTGGGTGCTGTAATTTGACTGCTCTGCCTAATGCACTTAGCACACAGAGAATTAACAACTTTCCCAAAGACACTGTTTACCAGGAACTGTGAAAGAAACATATCAGGAGCTGAGCTGAAAGGAGTTGTAAAAGCTGAACTGAAGCTGCAAAGAAAGGACATTTCCCAATCTTTGTAACCTGTTCCTGCCTGAGCAATCTGTTGAAGGACCAGAGCAAGTACTGTGCAACATTGCTATTTCCAGAGTGACCAAGATCTTTTTAGGCTGGGATAAATGCTATCTGGACCTCCCCACTTGCTCTTTTGATTGCTGTGAACCACACCAACTTCCTATTTTGCTGGCATCCTACTTGATTAGGACCTTGTTCTTTGCATCCAGACTCCGTCTTCATAGCGTGGACTCTTTACAAGTGATATCTCAAATACTCCTCTGTGCATCTGCAGGTCTGAGACCGGCTTGTGAACCCCACTCTTGAGTCTTCTAGCTTTGCACCGGTCACATACTGTGTGATCTTGCCTTTCTGTCATCCCTCGGGATACTGCAGCAAAGATTAATGTCAATGTTCCCTTACTCTGTCTCCACTTACCCCCCAAAATATATGGAACCCTGTACAGTCTGCCTCTGCTGTAGCATCCCATCCTGCCACGTTTTATTGCCCATCTGTATACTTTTAAATAGGCCCTTCTGCTTTTCTGCATGGCTGGGAGAAGCTACCTGTAGCTGCCTGCCAGTATAAAGCTACTTAGTCATCTTCCTTCAAGTCCCTCCTGAGGAGGCTCCTGTTGTGATGATTTCTGCAAAGAATTTACCAGGGAGTTAATGAAGGCTCTCCAGAGCTATCTTCAAGACTTGCCAGTAAGCCTAGGAGGCTCGTGTCTCATGGGCTTTCTTCAGGCCTTTTTTGTGGTTTGGGTTTGGTTGGGGTTTTTTTTCCCCCTCCTTCCTTCTTTTCTTTTTCCTCCTCTAAAATGAAACTGAGGCAAGTGTGTCATACAAAGCTGTTAAATTACCTGGGAGTCTTGTGTGTTATCAACCTGTGTTCTGTACAATATCAGTGAGTACAGACTTGCTGTGGCTCCTAAGTTGTCCCGTCTGTTACTGACACTGTGCTGAAATTACTGACAGGCTTGTGCTGCTCCTAACAGACAAGTTGGTTAATAAAATGACAAACATGAGCAGTCAGTACGTAGCTTAAAGGAAACCATTTGAGTCTATAGTGCAAACTTCAGCAAAGCTAGTAGTACAGTAATGCCAGTGTATCTCTTATTTTCCTTTGAGATTTCAACCTTTCCTCCTGCTTTATTCCTCCAGACACTTTGCAAATTGTACCTGAATTAAGAGGAGGGAGAGAAGGAGAAAAGATTACTTTTCTGTATTTAATCTGACTTGTTTGTTCTGTGAACGTGCAGTCAGTGTGAGGTTGGTGTCTGAAGATTCTGCAATTTGTGTTTTTAGAAATGGTGTTGAAGTTTGCTGCCTTTCAGATCTGACCAGGTCTGGCAATGGGAGCTGGGGGCAGAGGCCAGCAAGCTGAATACTGTTTGTCATCGCATTGAATCAAACTCTGTACTCAAATGCTTGTTAGAGGAACTGGGTGACTGCTCCTGTGAGCAGAGCTGTGTACTTACAGCTGCAGGTACTGACTTATAGACCCCAACACTGTTCACCTTCTCCAGACTCGTGTAAGAGCACTGGCATTTCAAAAAGAGCACCCATTTTCTTCCCTGCTTTGAATTTTAGGTAACCGATTGATGGCCTCAAATGTTTACAGGACAATCGTTACTGTAGCATCCACATGCAGTCCTTAATGTGTTTGTCCTCATATGGCCACTCTTACCTGTCAGAGTGCTGTTACCTCTGTTTTCTTTGTGGAGGGCCAAGCCTATGGTGTGGAGATCTGTTGGAAAAAAAACAGCACAAAATGATGATGCTGTGGCCACCTAAGAGGGACAGCTCTCTGTGGGTCCCCTCTGTTCCTTTGTCTGTTGAGGCTGTGCTTGCATTGCACGCTTGAACTGACTTTGAACCCAGACACTGGCCTGGCACTCCTCTGCTGTCTCTTTTCTGTGTACAAATCTATAGATATCCTACAGGAGGTCAAACAGTTCAGTTAATGTTGTGTGGTGGCCTTTGCACGGGAAAGGAGGAGGGTTCCCATGCTTGGGGTGGAAGGGAAAGCTGCTAATACTTGTTTCTAGTTTTTGGCTGCTGCCTCTGACACCAAGTTTCTTCATGAGTTTCTGTCTTCCCCTTTGCGTGCTGTCTGTGGAGGGGGGTCCACAGGTGGCCAAGATGTTTGGTTTTCCTCTAATCCTATGTGGTTTCAAGACCTGAGTAAAGCAGTATGGGAGTAGTGGTGTCATCCTGTGGTGTGTTAGAGCACAAGCTTCGTTCAGGCTTAGCCCAGCAATATTTGGGCTGTGCAGGGATGGAGGTGACCTGTCCCAGAGGAAGATGACCTTCTCTGCTGTAAGTGGTACCTCAGCTAAGCACCCACGTGGGGAAGAGTAAATACAGATTTTCACAAGCTATAGCTCATGTTGTCCTCTGGAACCTGCTGTTACTCTTGTAGTGATGGGCAGTGCTGTGGGAAGGATGTTATGGGATGGTAGGAACAAGCAAGTGAGATGCTGATGGAAGAAAAGAGATGGTGCAAGGCGGCTGGAGGCAGCATTGGTGCGGATGGGCAGCAACACAGAGACTGTTCCTTCTGTTTCATGATCACAGAATCACAAAATGGTTTGGGTGGGATCCAGCCCCCCTGCCATGGGCAGGGACACCTTCCACTAGACCAGGTTGCTCAAAGCCTCATCCAGCCTGGCCTTGAACACTTCCAGGGAGGGGGCAGCCACAACTTCTCTGGGCAACCTCTGCCAGTGTCTGACCACCCTCATCATAAAAAAAATTTCTTCCTTGTGTCCACTCTCAGTTCAAAACTGTTGCCCCTTGTCCTGTCACTACAGGCCCTGCTAAAAAGTCCTTCTCCATCTTTCTCATAAGCCCCCTTTATATACTGAAAGGCTGCAATAAAATCTCCCCAGAGCCTTCTCTTCTCCAGGCTGAACAGCCCTAGCTCTCTCAGCCTGTCCTCACAGGAGAGGTGCTCCAGCCCTCTGATCACTTTTGTGGTCCTCCTCTGGACCTGTTCCAACAGGTCCATGTCTTTCCTGTGCTGAGGACTCCAAAGCTGGACACAGTACTCAGGTGGGGTCTCACCAGAGCAGTAGCTGGGCAGAATCAGTTCCCTTGACCTGCTGGCAACGCTGCTTTTGATGCAACCCTGGACACAGCTGGCTTTCTGGGCTGCAAGCGCACACTGTCAGCTTGTGTCCCATGTTTTGTCCATCGGTGTTCCCTTGCAGCTTGACTGCTGGGACCACAGGGCAGAGGAAGAGCTCAAACGGCTCATGGGCTGTGCGCCAGAGCTGCACCCGGCACAAGAAGGTGTGCGATGGAGGGCCAGGGAGTAGCGCTCCGTCTTCGGAGCATCCGACTGGCGCGACCTGTGTGCGGAAGTGGGGAGTCCCACGGTGTCGTGAAGGGTCCAGAGCTCGGTGTGTTGTGACTTGACGTCGCATCCTCTCCCTGCATCTCTGTTGCTTACCAAATACATCACGTTTCTCCGTGAGAGGGAGGGATGGCAGCTGTCCCCAAAATGCCATTTCCCTTTCTCAGCCAAAGAGTCTGTTACATACCTGGTGACTTGGAGAAAAAGAACCAAAAATCCCCCAAAAACCCACCCCGCCCTGCAGCCTTTAACGCATAGACAAGAGTGTGAAGTCTTGGTGTTCAGACTGTATGCTGTTCTCTAGGTGATGAAGTTGGGAAAACCTCTTTATTACAAGCTTATTTATTCCATAATAAGGAATTGCCAGTGTCCTTTCTTCAAAAGTATCCGATTCTGGCAGTGGCTGAGCTGAGCTCCGCTGGCAAGGCAGAAAAGCCTGTTATCAAGACACAACTTTTTTCTTTTTGCTTTTTTTTTTTTTTAATGTGGAGTTTGAGATGTGCTTACCTGGGCCCCTTTAGTTGACTTTCAAGCAGAACTCTGGCTGTAGGTGTGGGATGGCAGAGGTTTTCTCAAAATGTGTGCTCTTGATGGATTAGCACGTCCTCCACAAGGAAGCAGGTGCTGTTCTGTAGCACAGTGTTTGAGTAGCAGAACTTTATTATTTCCATGTGAATGGTAAAAAAACAAGACTGGAGCCAAATCTGATATTTCTGCTGTCAAACTGGGATGTTGTGACTGTTCTGGTAAGGGAAGTCGCAGAGGGCTGTGGGTCCAGCTGTGCTGGGGTTTGAGTGGGATGTTTTCCCTGTACTGGGCTGTATCAGCTTTATGGGGTCAAGCAAAGCTGACAGTCCCTGTGTCTTCATTAGTAACTTTTTCTCTTTTTCACGGCAGCTTCCCTTGTGTACCTGCAGTTAGGTGGGAGAAAAGGTGATATCTGTTAATGCATGTCAAATATCGAGGCTAATTTTCCTTTTTATTGCCAATGCAGATGTGCCCACTGCTACCTGTCAGGCATAGGCATCCTGCCACCTATCGGGTATTGATTTACTAGGAATTTAGAAGGGCCAAAGCCCTCCTTCCCATGCTGTACACAGTTAGGCACCATTCCTACCCTGTCACCACATGCTTTTTGACATCTCATTTGCTATAGCTAATCTAGTCTTTCCTCAGCACCGTGCAAGGACGTGGATGTGTTTTGACAGCTTTGTAGGGGTGGGAATGGGAAATAATGGCTCCCTGGGGCCAGATAACTGTTACCTTTTACCATGCTTTGCAGGAGAGTGTTAGCAGACAGGTAGAGCTTGTGTATACTAGTTTGGGCAGTGATCTGGTGGTAGCACTGGGATTGAGTGTTGGGGATCTGCTGTGGGCTTATCAGCTGATGCAACTGGCAACATGACATCCCTGCCTTAACCCACAGTCACGTGGAATGTCTGGGCAGAGGTGGAGAATCAACACAATTTCAATGCAAACCTTCCTTCCTTTCTTCTCTCTCTCTGTCACAGCTGCCTACACCTTGCAGAAAATATGTCTCCTCACTGCTGCTTGGTTTGGAGGGCCAGGAACCATATAGGCATGAACCCAGTTAGGTGTATGTGGATTCCACCATAGCCTGGCCCTGATAAAAGGAGAAGTAATGCCTCTTAAAATGATGCATGAGATCAGCAAAGGCTGGTGTAACTGCTGCTGGCTCCATGCACAATGTACAGGAAAGTGTTTGCACTTGGTAATCAAAGTTTGGCATGGCTTATAGATCAGGATTTAAGGATGAACTACTGAACTCTTAAACAGAGGGAACTTGTGAGTTTTTATTGTTTTAAACACTTCAGTTATATTTTATCTCACTTTATACAGCTGGTACAACTGTGGGTATCTTTTGTCATCGTATTCCCATCTGACTTGAAAGAGAATCAGGTGGTTGCATCTTGGATATGATTGTTGGATTTCATTAGATGACAGGACTCAAAAGTAAACAGATCTCAAAGTTGGCACACACTCTGGCAGACCTGCAGCTTGGGTACCATGGACTTGACCTCCATAAACACAGCTCTGGAAGAACCGGTGTTCCTGCCTCTGCAGCTGGGAGGGGAAAAAAAACCCCAACAAAAAAGACCAAGCTAAAAAGACCTCCTCTCTCTCTCTCTCACCCTTCCCTTAATCTCTTGTCTGGCAGGGAGCAGAGAGGAAGATCAGGGATGAAGAACGAAAACAAAGCAAAAGAAAAGGCAAGTGCACTGACCCCAGCTCTCAGTTGAATGCCTGTAAGTAGAAATTATTCAATCAGTATTTTAAATATTAAATCTTATTTTGGTCACAGATAACTTCTGTCATAGAACTCTCCTAAGTCAGTTTTTATCCCCTGTGGAATAGTGTTTGTTTTAAGCAGTTGCTGCTTATCGAGTCATTAATTGTGTTTTGCAACACACTGAGTCACTTAGGACTTAACTTGTGTTTTCCCTGTCTAACGAGGTCCTACTGTGCATTCAGTAAGGTAGGGTTTTTAGCAGTTGAAATGACAGGGTGAGAGTGGGATTTTGGGGCACTGCTGGAGCCTCTGAGCTCCAGGTGGCAGTAAGAACTGGAGCTGCTCCAAATGTTTCCAGCTTGATCCTAAACTTAGTCTTTAACTTATGTTAAAAATGTGTTTACAACCGTGCAGCAAGGTGGTGGCAGCCTTGGGACTGGGCCACCAGCCTCCCAGCCCTATACTCACTCTCTGGAGCAAAGTGGATCTGTAGAATAATTTCAATAGACATTGTTTCTGCACACCTAAAGGCCTCAGTGCTCGTAGTGTATAAAGGCTTTGGAGTTCATTCCCGGTGAGCATCTTTCCTTAACTGGTGCAGATGACTGCAACAGATCCTGTGTTTGGATGACTATTCACCAGCAGAGCTGCTTAGAGGAAAATGTATCTCCCTGTTCTTCCTCTGCACGGGGCAGGTGTGTGCTCTCCCTTGCTGTACCTGATGTGCTATTAACAGTCCAACTGGTTCAGCAAGCATGTGCCTCACGGCTTGCTGGACAGGATTTTCCTGACACAGCAGGTACAGGCTGCTGGAGCAGCTTCAGAGGAAGATAATGCCATGAGGGAACCTGTTTGCTCCAGGGCAGTTGAAGAAAGGGCTGGGTTTTTGGGTTTTCCCCCACAAAGTACATGATGAAAAGTAGGTTGAGCACACTGTTAGTGTTCCGTGGATGTGGTAGCCCCCACAGCTCCCAGAGGATTACTGCCTGCAGCACTTTGCATAATGGCTGGAAAGTGCAAACAGCTTCAACTCTGGTTTCCAGGATCTTACAGTTTTACAAAAGCTGCTTTCCAGTATGAACTTCCTAGGCTTGGGATTAGTCTGATGTGACCTTTATTTTACTGGAAAGTACAGTCCATTGCTGTTTAGCTCTTCTGTGGAAGTTTTTGATTGCTTTAAGCCATAAGCTGTTACACCCACCTCCAGGATCACAAATGCCATGTGCACGTGGACTCATCAACAGCAGAAATAGTTTGTGACTTCTGGACAAAGTTGTTTTTATAGGGATTGAGCAATTTAAAAAAAAAATAAACCCAACCCAAAACCAAATAAAACAGTTTTCCAAGGAAAAATAGTGTATTTTTCACTGGGGACATGAGAAGTGAAGTGTTTATCTTGCAGTTGGTTTGACCCAAAAATCCATTGGTAAATTCCACTTGGTAAAAGGAGTGGAAGTCTTCAGCTGAGGGCAGTCTGACATGAATGTGTCTGAAGTGCAATTTGAGGCACCTCCTGCCTCTCTCCCAAACGGGTCTTTGTGGGTGAAGTCTGTCCACTTGGTGCCTTGTGTCACGTCAGCTGGTGCGTTGTAAGAGCTGAAGTGCTCTGTGGGGAGACTGTGCTGGTCCTCGTGGGGGATGAACTGAGGCTGGGCAGCTTGGAGTGACCAGGGTGAACAATGAGATGAACAAAAAAGTTAAATTTGAAAGTGTGGAATAAAAATGTAACTCTTAAGTGTCACATCTTGCAAGAAACAGTATTTGTATCACCTCTGCAGTGTGACAGTGCTTCTGTGGTGCAACCTCTTTGAGAGGCTCCCAATTGGAAACATGTGGGTTGTAGGTTGTCTCTTTGTCTTCTTTCTGCCTTCCTGGTTTGGGAAATGCAGCAACCTTTTGAGGGAGTTGATAGAGAGAATGGTGAGTTAGGACTGGCTTTAGGACTGTGTGGATAGTTTGCTTGGTACACGGAAGACCTAGGTTATTCTTTTGGGGTGAGTGCCCAGTCCATTCTCCAGCCCAGTTGAATATCTGAACAAAGTTGAGCAGCTTACTTGGAGACATGGAGCAAACTTCTCCTCTGTGAATAGAGCTGTTTCCTCAGGGTCCAGGCCCTCATCTTAGAGGTAGAGAGCCCAGGTTCCAACTCCTCTACCACAGGAGCTTCTCCCTTTGACCCTGACTGCAGAGTACCCTTGTTCAACAGCATATGTGCCTCTTAAATGATGTAGGAAAGCCACAGCTTTGTCAATGTCTTCACTATCCTCTATTCCAATCTTTGGTCTCTGCAGTTTCTGATGTCAAAGTGCCAATGCTTCCCTCACACAAACGTACGGACATCACCATCTTCAAGCCCTTCATGGATCTAGACACTCAGCCAGTCCTTTTCATTCCTGACGTTCACTTTGCAAATCTTCAGCGTGGTGCTCACGTAAGTAAAGCTCGTGGGTGTGGGGCAGAGGAGGCTATGGAATGTATTTGCAAAAAGCCTCAGATGCCGTGTGTATGTATATGTACATGAAATGACAGATTATCTGCACTGGTGCTGTAAACAAATACAGGCTGTCTCTCATGTGAGCGAGAGATGTTGCTCCTAAACACATTGGCTGGAGTTAACTGGGGATGTTTTGTGATTAAATTATTTTCCTATGAACTCCTGTTGCCATGAACCTGGAAGGATGTTTTCCACAGCATCTCCAGTTGAGAGTTCACTGAAGGAACTGCAGGCTGGTTTTCTCTTGTAAAGTCCATTAGGTTCCTGGTCTGCTGCTGTAAACCTTGCACTCTTCCAGCCTGCTGCCACAGGGTGAAAAGCTGCTCTGTGGGACTGGCAAGTGTGTCAGCTCTGTGATCTGCTGCCAGAGTGCCCTGCCTCAGCGTTCCTGAAAAGTCTCAGCTGACAGGAAACTGGAAGGGAAAAAATTAAAGTGCAACCGAGTTTCAAAATCTTGAACTGTCCTGTGCTGGGAGTCCTGGCATGCTCTAGCAGAGTCCAGACTTTACTTTTTAAGAGCGTTCCTAAACTCCTAGCAGGGATGGAGAACAAATTTATTTCTGTAAGGCTGACTTTTCTGCATGCTTTCCTGTGAAGGCTCTGCTATTGCTGAGCTCTGTCAGAAGACTCTATGCCAGTCCAGATAGAAAACTGGTTATCTCTTGTATGTTCTTGTCTCTCTCTCATTTGAGATCCTTTAATTTCTCTTTACGAGAAGACGTTAAGGAGATGCTCACTGGCTTTTGGAGGGTTGAGCCAAAGTGTCGTTTGATACAGGGTTGAAAGGTAATAAGAAGAAATTAGTTCTAGTTCTGGATAGAACTTTCACAACCCTAAGTGCAAGTATTATTTATGAATTAAAATGAAGGCCCATGTTTATTGCTTGGACCAAAGTATTATACTTCTAGTAGTGTAGTCGTGGCTGGCTCCTTACTTAACAGCCTTGGTTTCCCCTGTGTTCTGTACTGAATGCTTACAAGTGAGTTGGGTGGTGAGCTGTCTGCCTGTCCCTTGCAGCTCCTGCTGTGGGCTCAGAGATTCCCTCTCCTTTAACCTGATGCTGTTGGGCCTCTGCTCATGCCAGATGCAGCAGGAGTGTTGTTCCACGCCAGTGACTCTTTAATGCAAAAAAAGCTACTGCTAGGTCACTAGTAACAGATGGCACTCAGAGGGATGGGGAGAGCATAGCTGACAAGACCATGTTACACCAGCTGATGGGTCTGTCTTTATGCAACTTTGCTTTGTAGCATTCAGAGCCCTTTGTATTGTTTCTGAGGACTGAGTATCACATGAGGTTCTCACTAGTTAGCTAATTCAGTGTGTGGTTTTCTGCCTATGTCAACAAAATCTCCCCTTTGTTTTAAAAGGTCCTTCCTGTTACTTCAGAAGAACTGGAGGGTGAAAGGTAAGAGCTGTTCTACTTCAGCCTACTGAAATCTTGCCCTCAGACAGAGGGCTAAGTCCCTGTAAGGGTACCGCTGCTACATTTTGCTCTGTCACTGACAGCTCAAACCTGAAGAGAGGAGGCTATATTGGTGAAGAGGACTTCATTGCTACTCCGAATAAGATGTCCAGAATAGAAGAACCAAAAAGAGGTATTATTTTCTTCTTTCAGAGACTGAATTATTGGAGTATTTGTCCAACATGATAGAGATGCATCTGAGGTTAAAGAGTTGTTTTAATTTATTTTGGAGTATATTCTAGCTTGATTTTCATGGCTTTGAGTAATAGTAGAAAGAGTTTGTATATCAGTAGTTCAGCTCCACAAATTTTTTACAATGTCAGAATTTCTGGGTTTTTTTTCTGCCAACTCAGACACTAGCTGGTTCTGAGTCTGTAAGGAAAGAGAATCAGAGGAGGTGAGCTGCTTACCAGTCTCCTCAGTCAATTGAGGGAGAGAATTCATTGTGTAATCCACTACAAAATACTTATTAATGGAAATCTTGTAGGACTTCAAATAATGAATATCAAGAACTGGTTCTGGGTATAAAACTGTTGCATCTTTTGTGGTGCTGCAAAATGGGCTGTTCACTGCTGAGAGACAAACTGAGAGAATTTTTTGCTTATTTTTAACCTGTTGTCAGCCTTTGATTTGATGTGGGATTGAATGTTGCTGTGGTGTTGTGGAAGGAGATGAGAAGTCCCTTCGGAGATGGTGTAGAGGATTACCTGCCTGATGACATTCATGTGTGGAAGGACCATGACAAAGCTTAAAGGATTAAAAGAGGAGGATTAAACTTGTGGTGTGGCAAAGGTTAAGTCTAGCAAGTCTGACCTTAATGGGGCTGCACTTGTGTAGTCTGGATAAACTAGTAAGGAAGGATGGATTTTATAAAAGGAAATTAGACTTCTTGGTTTTTCTTGTTGCTGTGTGCCATAAAACAAGACCTGTGGGTTTCTCTCTCCTTTGCCTGATGTATCATCCAACCTGTGCTGTAACTGAGAGTGCGTGTACTGTCTTCATTTTTTAAATCTACAGTCCCTTCTTTTTTAAAACCTGCAGAGATAGTCCATCAAGGGGGTGTGCTGCCCTGAGTTCACCTTGTTCAACTTGCCCATGCCAGTAATTGTTCCATGTTGCAGGTGTGTCAAAGATGTGGCTGATGAGCCCTTGTAAAGAACCCAGACTGCAATACCCACTCATTAGAAGATGCATTAAAGACGGCAAAGCTGTTAAAGTCCAAGCTTGCTTGCTTTCGTGGCTTATTCCTCAGCCTTAATGCAGTTTTTAATGGGGCTGATGTTACAAACAATGACTCTCTGCTGGCTTGAGAACACTAGGGATGCTTACCTAAATAGGTTTCTTATTCTTTCGTTCCCCTCCTAGCAGGAGATGAAGTCTGCATTGTGTGTCAGCTGGGGTGGTATGAAACATGGGAAGGGGTAGGAAGAGAGATGAGACAGCGTAGGAGGAGCAGAGGACTGTACAAATGAATTATTTAAAAATGAGGAGGTGGCCAGCATGGCTTCACCTGCTGTGGTAGCATCTGTCCAAGCATTTTATTGCACAAAGTCTTCTGGCAGATGACGTGTGAGCTATGGATACCCAAGAGTCTCAGAGCTGTGTGTTTTGCATTCCACCCTTCTGTGTTTCAGATATAACCTTTTTTTTTTTTTTTTCCCAAATAATAGAGAAAAGGGAAAAGAGAGAAAAATTAGACAGTATTTTGACAATAGAGATGTTTGAGCACGCAGTATTTCTGTGTGCCAAAAGTACGTTTTGAACTAATCTAGCTATGCATGTTTTTGATGCAATCTTCAGTGTATATTGAATGTACATACATGTATCTCTTAATGAGAATCTCAGTGTACATTACTCTGTTCTTAGCCCCAATCATACACAGATCGTTTTTGAGGAGCAGTTATGCAGTAAATGCCTCTCTCTGATTTGCTTTTCAGTGTTGCTGTATGTCCGAAAAGAGTCAGAGGAAGTCTTTGATGCACTGATGTTAAAGACACCATCTCTGAAAGGTCTAATGGAAGCAGTAAGTAATAAGGCTGTTTTATAGTCCTTGCCTCCAATTAGAAAAAAAGCCAGTGTAGTCCCTTGCTCCCCAGTTCTTACACGCTGGACAATCCCAGGAGCTAGACTCTATAGATTGCAGCTTGCTGTCCACATATTCCAGCTCTTCTGGATAAGAAGCATAAGGCTAATTCCTTTTCAATAACAGTGAAATTATTGTAAACAGTGCTTTAATTATTAAGGGACTTCAGGAAGATTCCCTTTTAAGTGTCTTACCCCACATCTGTGGGATCTGTGTGTAAAAGGTGTTTCTCAGCCTTCCTGAAAATCCGGATGTGTCAAGGGTGATGACTGGGTACCTGCGATAGTCCCAAGATGACAGGCGCTGCTGGAGAGCCAGCCTTCTGGGCTCATTTCTTATGCAGGCTCTGCTTTGGCCAAGCTGCAGAAGCAGCTGTGTAGGCCTCTTCCTAGCTGCATCAAAAAAGGGTCTGCAGACTCCCACTGTGGATGTCCCTCACGTCAGAGAGGGTATTTTAATGAGAAGATGGAGTGATTTCCAAAATGTGTTCAGTGGTTTGGGTTTATTTTAGTCTTTCAAAGCCTTGTTTGGGACCTTTCCTCCCCTTCCATAACCTGCTTGTGAAGAGCTCCAAGTCCCAATTTCTGAGTGTGCTTGAAGACTTTAATACGTCTGTGCACATGTGTGTGAAATTGCTGTCTGGTACTTGATTTCCACAATAGCCTTCCACTAGCCCTGCTGCTGCTGTGCTGCAAAGGAAATGCAGAGCTTAACTCCGAGGAATGGTGTCATGTTTGGCACGAGCTCAGAACTGACGTTTCTGGCTGCCTCTTTCTGTGACTAAGGCCTTGTTGGTGCTCAGAGGACAGAGGCTTTGGGGCTGTACAGCCAGGGCTTGCTGTTAGCTTTGGGACCCAGAGAGGGTTCTGTAACCCGGAGCTCTCTCTTCCTGGCTGTGGAGCTTTGCCAGCACAGGTGGGCTGGAGATGGGGGCTCATGGGGAGACGGAGTCGAGGCTATGAAGGCCTCTCTTTTTCCCGTGGTCCTGAAGTGAAGCAGCCCCTTTGTTGTTTTGCTTGGACTTCTCAAAGCAAGGAACCAAGAGTTCACAACTGTAGCTTGGGGTAAAACCCCTTTGCTTTTGCCAAAGTAAACCAGGCTCAGGTTGCTGACCTCATGACTTTCTGGGGGTTTGTACGCTGAAGCGCCATGGTTAGCAGCTGTTGTTTCACACTGAGGTCACCCTGCTGGGGAAGGGGGACATTTCTGACTAGCTCACGTCCTTTGCAGGAGGGGTCTTCGCTCTGCTGCTATTTTCTTCCTGCACCAGCCGCTGTGATGGCTATTTCTCACCTGATCCCTCTGACACTGAATTTAAAAATGGGTTTTGATGTGCTAAGAGAACAGAGAGCCAAGAGAGGATGGGAACCAGGGTGTGGGGTGGTTTTTTAATGCCCAAGATTTTTCGTGTGGGGGCAGGGGGTTGTTGTATGGGAAATCAGTGGCCAGGTTTCGAGAACAATTAAGCTTTTTGCACAGAAGTTGGCAAACTGCAGCGGAGGAGTTCTCATCTGTAGGCTTATGCTACAGTTCAAGATTTAATATTGCCTTTATAGGACAGAGCAGTTGATTTCATCTGTAGAACGTTTTTTGTTCCCTTCTGTAAAATAGTAAGCAGAAGACAATGCCAGCAGTCCCCTTACTTCACCAGTGCTTGCTTTCTTTTGTTCTAGATATCTGACAAGTACGATGTTCCTTTCGATAAAATAGGAAAAATCTTCAAAAAGTGTAAAAAAGGGTGAGTATGTACCTGTGCAGCAACTATCTTGAGAATATGAACTCCTTTTTTCAAACCTGTGGGCAAATCTGCTTTGTAATTCCTCCGTGCAGTGCACGTGTGCAGATGCCATTTGCAGATGTGTGTAGGTGCATGCAGTGTGTTAATCTTATTCCAACATCATTCATAGAGGAGAAGACCGCGAGTGTCCTGTAGAAATGTGTAGCCTGACTTCCTGGGTAAATACAAGTCACTGGACCTCTCTGAGTCAGTTGCTGTTTGAACCAGAGTTGATTGTGTCAGAGGAAGAAGAGTTTGATTTGTTTAAAGACTCACAGTGGCGAAGAACCTACTTCAGCCCATGTTAAGTTGTTCCAGTGGCTAACTGTACTCACTGTGTGTCTGCATTTGCCTACAACTACTAACCCTGATAGAAGAGACCCAAGTACCCATTCCCCAGAGAGGCCGCACTCCGCAGTCCCTTTATTTTGTAACATAAATAATTGAGTTCCTGAGCATGGCCACTTTTGTTTCTCCTTTTAATCTTTCAGTAATTTTATTGTTGTGTTTGTTTTTTTTTTCTCCAAAGTCACTTTGGTGTCTTAGCCCCTCACCCAAAGCCCCTCTGGCCAGAAAAAATATGTCCTTTAATCACCTTTGGAATGTAGTTTTAAGGGTTGTGCTTTCATAGCAGAATGACTGCAGCAGAATAACTGCAGAAGTTGTGAATTGATGGTAGCTAAACCATTGCTAAGGGCAGGTTTTTGTGTGTGTGTGCACATGCACACTCACATGCGTGTGTGTATACACACACAAGCTCACGGGTATTGACTGGAAGCAGCCAGGCATCAGTAGTTTCTTCCCTGCAAGCTCTGTAGGGTTTTGTGCCCCTTGTTTATAGCTGTGAAACAAACCAGTTCTGAGCCCCAGGGCTGCCCAAGTGTCTGCAGCTTTAGAAGGATTTCTGCCAGTTCTAAGATCTCCCTCCCTCCCTCCCTGGTTCTGGAGCCAGATTTAACCCTTTTGCTCAGATCCTAGAAGCATGACTGCCAGCCTTGGTGGCAGGTTTGGGTAAGAACAGCTCGATCTGCTGTAGGAAGCCATGGGTCAGAGATAGGCAAGCAGGGATCTTGTGTTACCTCTGGACAGTCCAGGCCTTCTGAGGTTTGAGGGCACCTTTGCTGTCTTTGGCATTTAGAACCGTAATAATTTCCCTGACTTACTTTATTTTTCCAGAATTCTGGTCAACATGGACGATAACATTGTGAAACACTATTCTAATGAAGATACCTTCCAGTTGCAGATTGAAGAAGTTGGAGGATCTTACAAGCTCACTCTCACTGAGATCTAAGATCTGTGGATTTTAAACGAAGGTCTCAAGTGAACATTTTCCCATGATTTAGGATGTTGGGTAAAACACTAATCACCTTCTCCAGAAGAAAGCCAGGTGTTGACTTGTTCTGGGGAGCAGAGCAGTGTTTTAGCTTAATACTTTTGTGTTTCTGTTCTTTCCAGAGAACATTGTAATGCTCATGACCTTATTTGCACTTGAAATGAGCGAGCAAAGATCAGTGATTAAATAGAGAGCATGTATAAAACTAGTAAATACAGGAGGGGAAGACTCCTGGAAGGTGGCCTTTTAGAGTGGTGATATCTTATTTATCTGTTCATTAACCGTGTTTGAGCCTGTTATCAGCTAATACCATTTTATTGGACTGTTTTCTGCTAGGTAAAGCTGCAGAACTACTGATTGATCCTAGTAGGAATTGCGTGCAGGTTGGAGAAAAGTCTTTATAATGTTTACTCTTGAACAGGGCAGACTGAAATCACTTGTGTCATTTGGGGGGAATGTAAAACTGCCTTGCTTATGAAGAACTCGCCTTAGTAACTGTGTGAACTCTCATCAGATGAAGCTATATTGTATATAAGTGCAATACATTTTTGAAGGTTTGTATATGTGTACATACTAGTGATATATAATATATATAAAGCATGGTGTTCTGTATATATACCGTGAATATATGCAATGAAGCCCATCTAAAAGGATGCCATATACAGAGAAAACAGATATTTAACGAAGCTATTTAAAAACAGACAAACCCTTAACACGCACCAAAGGTGAGCACACGTTTGTATGTTCTTAGAAGGCGCAAGACACCTGCTTGTTCAACAGGGATCTTCCATGGTGAAAGGAAAAAGTTACCTGCTCTCTCCTAAATCCTCCTGCACAGCAAGGTGACAGCAGCCCTGGCTTCTCTTATTGAACTGTCACCTTGAGCCCTGAAAGGGCTGCATGCTGCTGCCCTGGGAGTTAACTTGGGCTGAGTCCGAGAGTTGGGTCCAAGAGGAGCTGAGCAGATGCAGTTTCCTTGAAATCTCACTTCTGGAGTCAGGAAGAAGGTCTCCTGGAGGGTGATTATTTCCCCCCCCTGCCCCGTAGCAGTGTACTTAAGGCTCAGCTGGATGCTGCCTGCAACAGCAGCTCAGGCTGGAGGAACCCATGGGTTGGAGCCAGCTTGCAAGGTTCTAGGATGTCGACAACTGGAAGTGCACAGGCAGGGCTTTTGGGAGAGGAAGGTGCTGTCCCAGCTCAGCAGGGCAAGCATTAGCAGGGACTAGGGGCTGCAGGCAGGTTATAAGTGTTCCTGGTGTATGTACATCCCATTGACCCACCGCTGGGACGGCTGGTAGCAGTCCTGAGCCCAGCCACAGCTGGGAGTGCCAATTACCTCCAAAAAATACTGCTTTGCGGTAGATTGTGCAGTGTTGACTCATCATGTGCATGTGCTTATGAAGGAAAGGCACCCTCTGGTTAGTCACAAGTGAGAGAGAAACGTTTAAACAGCAGCACTTGGCTCTAAGGCAAAAACCCACGTTACAGGGTGAGCAGATGAGCGTGAGTACCGGGTCCCGTGTCAGTGCTTTTGTTCGGGATCTGGGTAACAAAAGAGACGTAACGTTTTCAGACAGCACAAAGCTGCGTTTGCCTCACCTAGGACGTGAAGGTCAGTGTGGATAGGCTGGAGAAATAGTCTGGAAAAGTAGGATATGATTCTACGTAATGGTTAACGATTCTACTTAACGGTCAACGAATCGTAACCGAATGTTGTTCAGCTGTGTCATGCTGCTGTTTGGAAGAGGGAGGCAAATACCACGTTGAGTTGATAAACAGGAGCATGGCCTGCAAGAAATAGGAGACCCGCCTTTTGCTCTACTTGGCATTGCTGAGGTGCCCCGTGCTGAGCCCAGCCCTTCCAGCAGAGCCCAGTCCTATCCAGTGTGCCAGAGAGGCCAGGCTGCCCGCCCCTCCAGGCAGGGCTCACCCACAAGGGCTGGATGGGTTGCCTGGTGAAGAGTCATCTGCAGAAGGGAAGGTTGAGGGGAGCAGCCTCCCAACATGTGAAAGTGTTCCCCTGGTCCATCGCAAGTGTGGTTAGAAGTAGTGGGTATAAATTGCAGAAATTCAGGTTAGTCATCAAGGTGGTTTTCCATAGTGAGAAGAGCAGGTTGCCCAGGGAGGTGGTGGGGTCTTTAGAGCCAGGCTGGGTGGACGTAGCTCTGGACAGTTATATTTGATTCTCCCTTGGTGCTGAGACTAGGTGATGACTTAACGTCCCTGCCCACCATATTTTTTTAATGATTTACATGAAATATAGTATTTTGAGATTCGTGTTTGTACCAATCCTGAGCTGGTTCATAGACTGCTCCATTCTCCCCTCCTTCCTCGTCCTCCTCCACTGACGGGCCCCATGGAGGCGTGTCAGCGCTCTGTGTGCTCTTCTCTTGCTCTGTGGCTGGAGTCGAGCAAACCCTGTGTGAATGTACCCATGACAGTGGGCACATGGATGGAGCCCGTGGGCTCGAAGCTGAAGGAGAGAAGCCATCATCCAGCACGGTGCTGGAGAGACTCGGCCAACACGTGCCAACCCCTACAGGAATCCACCGCCAGCAGAGCAGAGCAGGGCAGCCATGGGACTCGTACCCAGCTGACACCAACCCGCCACTTGGGCTTCCCTTCATCAGTCACGAGGAATAATGTTACTATGGCAAGGGAATTTTTTTAAACCTGATATATAGAATACATATATATATATATTTACACATTTTTATTGAAAAAGGAAGTTTTATTACAGAAACTCAGTCTAGGGGCAGGGAAGTAGATATAGAATCTCTATAGAGGTAGAATTGACTTGAATGTTACTTCTTTTTACTGCTTAATGAAGTATGTGAACTGAATCTGACGATTGTTTTCCACTATAAGATATTCTGGGACACGGGTCTTACAACAGTAGCAGCAATGTCAGGTATGTTTTATGAAACTGATTTTTTTTGGTTTTGCCTGCTGTTTTTTAATTGAAAATGTATTTTAAACCAAGCTATTAAATTTTATATGTTCATTTCTAATGACGAGTCTTTTATCTAGTAAATGTACCTGCCTTCCCCCTTTATTTTTTCCTTGCCAGGGGATCTATAAAACAAACCCTCAGTGATTGCTTGGTAGTTTCTCCTCTTGTCAGAAGAAGATAATCCCAATGCCAGCCTTGCTGTTATTCCCACATGGTTAGTCCCACTCTCATCCACTGCTTGACTTCAACCAGCCTCATTCATTTTTGAGCACAGGGAAGCCATGTAGCATTTAGGTTGCCCAAGGAAGTTGTGGATGCCCCCTCCCTGGAGTGTTTAAGGCCAGGCTGGATGAGGCTTTGAGCAACCTTATCTAGTGGAAGGTGTCCCTGCTGATGGCAGGGGGATTGGAACTAGATGATCTTTAAGGTCCCTTCCACTCCAAACCATTCTATGATTGTGTTTTAGTAGGACACTTTCCTTGGGCAGTAAAATGAAACCAAAAAGTCATGGGCAAGCTCTGATGCATTGTGGGTCAGTGATGCCTGATGGTCTCTGCTGGAGGTTGAACAAAAGCATCTGGGGCCTCGCTTGCGTACCCCATGCAGCACTGGCTGGGGTCTCCCATGGCTGTGGGCATGGATGGGGAGCTGTGGGCTCAGAGCAGCGCCAGTGGCTGTCCCTGGTTGAGGGATCGTCACGTAATCACCAGCCCATGATCGTTAACGGGAGCAGCAGGTGCCTTTCCAGGAGGAGCTGGTTGTAACTGGCACTTCCCAGGCGGCACAGGGGACCATCTGTGAGGCTGCAGGCGCTGACTTTCCCCGAGATGGAAACACCCTCCAACCGTTAAAGTCCTGTGACAATTAACCAGACTAGCCCTAATGCTGCTGTTGCTGTAGTGTCTGGAGAGGTGCTCACGTCCTGTTTTCACAGTTACAAAATGTCTCAACAAGCTTTTGCTTTAGCTGGCTCCCCAGCCCCTGCAGCAGTTTGTGGGGTGCTGCACTGGGGTAACTTCTGCGCCGGCACCTTCCCAATTGCTGGGCTTGTGTCGGCGTGCCCGAGGCTTGGTGGGGAGCAGCGTGGGAGGCAGAAGGTTTCTGGGCTAGAAAAAAACAGGAAACACTATTTATTTATTTATTTCTCTATCTATCTATGTGCTCCCAGAGTTTGTGTCCCAGGTGTAGGAAGATGCTGCAGGACATCGCCCAGCAAGTCCTGGGGTGCTTTGGATGATGCAAAAGTGCTGTGTGAGGCCAAGCATCATCCCCACCCGGGTTGGTGCCCACTGAACGGTTGAGCGGCGTTTAGCCCCTGTACAGCTGGTTTCTGGTGTGGTGGCCGTCTCCCAGTAAACAGCGTGAAGATGGACCTGCTGCAGGGCCAGCTGTGAAAGGCAGCAGTGCTGCTGCCTCTTCAGGCTTGCCATAGCTCTGTCTGCCCAAGCCTTTATGCAGCATGTGTCTGCCCTCCCTCCTCCTGCCACCCCATCGGCCCTTTTCCACCCATCTATCTGGTGAATTTAAAGACAGCGTGGTTTTTAAGCAGCTGTTTTCTGCAGCGGAGCATCAGGGGATGAAAGGTGAACTCCTGAAGGTGCAGCTGTGACCTCCCAAGCCAGGCAGCCTTACAGGGAGATCCGTGCCGCTTCCCTAGGGTGTGCCTCGGGGCTCTAGTATCACAAATGCTCAGTTAAGCTTTTAAGATCTGATCTTTCTTTGTATGGGAAAGCTGAATTCTGCAGCTTATTCAAGGATATTTGGTCTGTACAAACTAATTGCAGGAGCGTTTTCTCAAGGCTTTGCAAGAGCGTGGAGCTTACATGCTCTTGTATTTGTTTGGCTTGTTATTTTAGATTATTTGATTTGCTATAATTAAATTATTAAATATTAGATGACATTTAGATAACCCCTCAACTAGATTAATTGCTCTAATAAAAGAAAAAACCCCATGAGCTCCTATCCCTTGTTTTGCTGTCTTTGGTCTACCCTACTACACCACCAG